CATCTCATCGGATGCTTTCAACATCGGTGCCGGGGTTCCACAAGGAAGCATTCTTGGCCCCATCCTATTCAACCTGTTAACCTCCGATATGCCGGCTCTCCCTGATGGTGGATCGTTGTCTCTGTTCGCAAATGTACAAGGGTAGGGTCATCGGAGCTCTGACTGCCAAACTTCAGAGAGACCTGGACGTCCTGTCTGAATATTTCAACAGCTGGAAGATCCGTATCAACGCGGTAAAGACCCAGGTCATTATCTTTCCACACTCTAAATCTCCTAGACTTGGTCCGTCGGAGAATAACAAGATCTGCCTGAACGGCACAGTGGTGGAATGGTCCAAAGCGGTCGTGTACCTCGGGCTAACACTAGACAGCAAGCTGATTTTCAGGGAGCACGTTGACAAAACCAAAACCAAGTGCAACATCTTGATAAGATCGTTGTATCCACTTATCAACAGGAAGTCAACCCTGTCCCTGAAAAATAAGCTTGCTGTCTACAAACAAATCATCCTTCCTGTAATCGAGTACGGTATGCCAATCTGGGAGAGTTGCGCAAAATGCCATCACCTTAAACTCCAAAGGATCCAGAACAAGATCCTTAGGATGGTCCTAAACAGTCCCCCGCGGACTAGAAATTCTGAGATCCACTTCCTGGCTGGAATTCAAACATTAGAAGAACGGAGAGTATTCATCCTGGAAAGGTTCAGAGACACCTGTCTGAGATCAAATCATCAGATCATACGCGATCCAGCACGTTAGGTTAAGTTATACTCGTAGTTAGGTAGGTTATCACTTTTTTTCAATTCAAATAAAACACATCCCCAAAGGGATATTCTGTAAACTAGTTGAAAAACGCAAATATTAAATTAGAATATCAAATTAAACAAAGACGAAGAGCCAAGTAGGCTAATCAATTAAAATGATAAATCAATGTACTACCATAATCAACAGAAATAAACATAATTTTACTACTATTGCCTCTGCTCATTACCGCTTCGGACGACGTGGCACTAGGTACTGCAGCAGGCAGGACCAAGACAGCGGCTAAAGGTGGATCACATAATGTGGAATGAGACTTGGATATGCAAAATAACCCCCCGTCTATAACGTCAACTCAAAAAAGGCATGGATTTGACGATCAATATTTTTCCGGGAAATAAATTTTAAGCAAACTACAACAAAAGCCAAAATTTTCAAAACAATTGCTTAAGAGGATACATACATCCGATGATATTATGTTGGTAAATTACCAACAACTGACTGTAAAATATATCTGGTACCTCTATATAAGCAATTCGATTAACATCCAAAGTCCATCCTTTTTTTCATACTCTGCACAAAAGAAACGTTCTGCCCCGCCCCATTCATAATAATAAGTATAATAGTCAAAAACTGCATGACAAACATCAATTTTTGCGTAGTTCTACGTCATACTGCGGTCGTGTCTAGGACACAACCTTTAATTTTTTTCATTAGCGATATCATGTTTGAAAAAACTTTATTTTTTGTTGTTGCGATTTTAACATATTTGAAGATACTTACGAATATACCTAATTTGTCTTGCCCCTTTGGTGGCTGACTGTTGGTCTTAAACAGCTAAAAGTACCGATTTTTTAGGACGCTTGGCTAAACCACAAAAACAGCTACGTTCCATTCACAAGAATAATCTCTATAATCTCGTCCAATTAATTAATGAATGAGTGACGCAAATTGGTGTCCACCAATGATCGAATGTGACAGTTGATATTAATTCATCTAAATTTACACCGGTTGCCATGGTTCGTTGCGTTGTTTGATTGCGGCTGAAGAGGCTTTATTTACATAGGCCTACTACGACGCACCTCACTCACGATGGGTTCGCTTTCAGTGTTGGTTATCGGTTTGCTGTGCATTGCAGTGGTAAGATTCGTTTACTCCAATTGATATTGCACGTGACACAGGTACTTGTATCTTCAAGATCATCCCAAGTGGTGTTCACTGCCATCGCAGAAGAGGAGGACAACGTAGAGGTGGCAGTAGTTCCAACGAAGATTGGCGCTGCACTACGAGTGTTGGCAGCACTACAACTACTACAGCAAGGGCTACTACGACTGCTGCCACAACCCAAGCGGCCAATGCTACCATATTCCGAACAACGTTACGGCCAACGTTGATTCCGTTAGATGCCCGAAATGGAAAGTGATCTGGCTTGTAAATAAATTCTGATTCTAAATATGCTGTTTTGTTCGCTGTATCAGAACATCCTAGCTGGGTTCAAAGGCTAAAAAATTCTCTGGTCACGTCTTCCTTCGGGATGGAAGTAAAGCCGTTGGTCCCGGCCCGGTCCCAGCCGTCAATGGAGGATGGCAATCGATGTCCGTCGGCGATTGGCCATCGTAAAACTAGTTCGGATGTTTTTGTTTATGGTGGCAGTGGAAACATGAATAGAGCTAATTGGCACCATACAATAGAATTCTGATGATCCAGGTAATGCGTTTACATTCTGCAAATTCATGATTAATCATTATTATAGTTATCATACCACACATCATCAAATCATATCTACTCGGCGAAATATATATCACCACTTGTTTTTGGTTGTGTTACATCCCGTTCCCTCTGTGACTTTACGCCAGTTTTCAACTCAACGGAAACTCTTTGAACACTTCCACAATTTTTCCAACTCGATGAAATCAAAAACAGGACTGGAAATCGAACCCAGCCACCTTCAGCATGGTCTAGCTTTATAGCTGTGGCTTAATCGAGTGAACTAAGTCAATGACATTCAAATAATAAATTATTAATCAAAATGGAAACCTTTAGATACAGGCAAATCCGGGTCCAAAGTTACCAAGCATTTAAGCTGGGCTTAGACAGGGCAAGTCAATTGATCAAGTCAGTTGAATTCAACTGACTTGAACGCGAATTGAACGTGTAAACCATGCCATTCAACTGACTTGATCAACTCACTTGAATTGAAAATAGTTGAACCAGGCTCAACTTTTCAAGCCAATTGAATTCAACTGAGTTCAGTGTTAGGAAAATATCAAAAAATCAAATCTCACCAATGCCCAAGATCACGCTTGATTTTCGTAGACAAAAAATCAACAAGCAAACAACTGCGGTTGATTTTGCAAGCTGTGATATCGCAGCTCGGAATATCAAGCTAACAAAACTCACCAACTGCAAATCTCACCAAACTGTGGTGAGATTGAGTTTAATGATTTTTGCTTTACACCCGAATGCAACCGAAACTTCCATAACGGCTTGCAGCAGTCCCTTCGCATCTGCCAGCATCTGCGACTGAGACCGGGACGTTGTTAACCGACTGAATGCTCAACTAGGAATGATAGACTAAATCTGTGTTTCAAAAAAGGAATCCGAAAACGAAAAATCGATCCCTTCCGTTGTTTAATTCGAGGAGACCGCCGAACACGTTGTGTTCGCCTGTCCACGCTTCGAGCCTGTATCGAGCGCTATGCTAGCGATATGTGGAGCGGATACCAGTCCGGATAACATCGTTCCTAGGATGTGTGGTACCACCGAGAACTGGAGCGCGGTGGTGACTGCGGTCACCCACATAGTTTCGGAATTACAACGACAGTGGCGTGCCGAGCAGCAGTTGCCTACTGCCCGACTAGATCGATAGAGTATTGCTAGAGAGGCGCCATAGCGCTACAGCGGCCCCTCCCACGAAGTAATGCCTTCGGGCGGTTCCGGGGAGGTCAAGGGCCAAGCGCCCAGGGTAAGGTTTAATGGGTCGGGAGTGAAATTCTCCCATCCCCATACCCTGAGTTCCTTCTCAGGAGTCTGTCAGCAGATTCCCCCCAGTATAAAGAAAAATACCCGTTTTTGAGAGCTTTTAACTCCACCCGCAGGAGGACATAAACAATCATCCATACAAATATATAACATTTTGTTTGGACTGAGGATATTCGTCAACCTCCCTTTCCCCTTTAATCTGCCAACTTCCCTTCCTTGTTAATTCACCAACTTCCATTCCCCCTAAAAACATGAAATATTTCCACCCTGAGTTGAGTGGCTGCTTGTTTTTTCTTTGACCTGGCAATGAGCTGGATTACCGAGGTGAAACCCATGTAAGATACAAGCAATTAGTGACGTCACTAATTGCGTTTGTGTTGATTTTTTGGTTTACTATATTTCACGATCTGCTTCACCTCTCTCTGTAGCTCATTGGGGCCCTGGTCCAATTCGTATCGACTAGCTTGACGTTCTTGTTGAGGCTCTTCTCTCTGCTCCACTGCCAAGACTGCTGCCTCAGCTGCGATATCATGCCTGGTTCTAATCCAGCACTTGCTCTAGTTTCCGCCTCTCCATAGTGTATCATCGATTCTAGAGTAACATTTGAAATGGGCCTATGTCCAAAACGTAAACAAGCCAGAAAATGAATTTTAAATTTTTCCGCCACTATTCAATTTATATTTAAGAAAATTGAAGTATTTTAGGCATTTATATTGTTCACAATAACAATAGTAACTGTATCTCAGTATACAACAGCCAAAATATGCGAAAAGCTTTCAAAAATATGCGAAAAGCTTTAAAAAATATGCGAAAATCGATAACAATTTATATTATAAGCCCTTTTTGTTAAGCCGTTGTGCTTGTCATCAGAAATGGTACGCCCTTTGCCAAGCATTTTCGCAACGTCGAATAAATTCAAAACAAATCATCGGCTCTGCCTCAAACAGTAGGGTCTAGCTTTGGTTTGAAAATTATCAATCATCGGCCCTTCTACGTCACTAGGCTTATCAATGAAATGAAATAAATGAATGGTTGGCCGGTTTAGCGCCTAGTTGTCCGTTTAGTTGTTTCGATTGCGGAACACTCTCTCTTTTGCGGATAACTGATAAACAAAACAAACAAATTTGTCGACACCCGTTCAAAATCTATCGATTGAGCATTTCGAAATGCTGATACATACTTTGTATGCAATGCACTCATATTAGACTGATTAGATCATCCTGATTCATACCCAGTAAAGAAGAAATAGTCACTTCAATAGAGCTAGTCGCTTGTAGAATCTAGTCATAGAAAGACGTGCTTTGTTGAAAAAAGTTCGAAACATTCGAAATGTCTGGATACAAATTGATTGGTGTCTTCCTACTGGTGGTGATTTTCAAATCAGGTAATCCGGTGCGTTTTATTATTTTTTAAAGATAATGATCAATTGGATCAATATATTCAATTTCAGTGGCCGCATTGATGTGCTATCAATGTTTCAATGTTGAAAAATGCGGAGGCGATGATAAGAATACCATCGTGCAATGCAACAACCAAAGCGCTCTAGAAGTGGCGGTCATATCGGCTTTCTTCTTTCCCAAACTCAGCGAATCTTTTACTGATGACAATAAGTTTCAATGTGCGTCACTTGCGTTTACACCGACAGGTACCTACTGATAATTGAAAGTAAGCTTCTCAACGGTCGTTTCAATGTAGATTCTTGATCCGTTTTTCTAGGAGCAACCAATGCATCCATTATGGTGAAGGGTTGCATGTTCGAAACGAAGCAAACTTTGTGCCAACTGGAAACTGATATTCCCAATGGAAACTTCAGCTGCCATTCCTGCAATACGAACAAATGCAATAGTGGTGTAACGTTGGGATGGAGCTTCTTGTTGCTGATGGTGGGATTGGCTGCTACTAGGATGGTTAAGTAGAACTAGTTACGGAGGATTTTAATGCAATAAAGCGAAAAGAAAAGTCAATAATTCGTCTGATTCTTCTTAGTTAGATAGGATACCCGGGTAGATGCCCTACTATTGATTTCTAAAGCTGACATGGATTAGCATGGGATAAGAGGTTGAATATCTGGAAATAGTACAAATAAATAACATGCCAAATATCATTTAAAAACAAAATCTGATACTTGAATACCAAACATAGATCTAAAATTTAGTATTTTGATATTGATTTGACAGGGTTCTCTAACCTATTCCGCATCGAGGGTTACATTATGTCTGCATGTTCAATCGCCATCGTGCTATCTATATTTTTTCAAAGAGCATCAAGTTTCAACATGAACCTACGCTTAACTATTCGCCGAACAATATAGCTCGCGTGGTTGAGGACATCCCGATGGGTAACAAGTGGAGTTCAATAATGATAATAAATCTAATATTTAAATCTATCCAGAAATACACTTTCCGGAATTTGGACATATGTTTCAAAATGAGCCAAAGCTAAACTCATCACACGTGCCTGACTGCAACAACCGAGTAATAGATCACGCACCAACGAGGTTATGCAGCTGGGTAACAAACGGGAATCAAGAACGATGATAATAAATGTATAATAATATTTTACAACTGGAACGAACTCTCCAAATCTATCCATGATTTATGTCCAAAGAAATCCAAAGAAATGGCAGAAACGACCCGGAATCAGTCCGTTCTATACTTAGTGTATACATTATGTATAAGACAGATGGCAAAGCGACCGTGAAGACCGTAGGTTAGAACCCAAGCTGCTTTACATTACTTTCCAAAGTGATTCCTTATCTGATACCTTTCTCACTAAAACATCAATTCCCTTCGCATGACAGATGTGGCGATGCAGAGGTTTGTTCGGTCTTTAGTTGCAATGTCTGTCAAATTTACAATCCTCCCCTTCACCGATGACCATAATAATGTAATAGCCTTGATAGCATTGATTTACCGGAGTTTTCACACTCAGAATAATTTAATAATTCCAAGCCCCATTGATATGGATATTTATGCAAATTTTATGGTCAAGAGCAGTAATGGATCGCTCTTTTGGGGCCTTTTCGTTACTTTTTATTATAGAATCCCAGCAAATAATTCAAAGTCACCAATAAGCATACATATTGAATAAATGCCGGATAACAGTGTACAATGCTGAATAAAACAGGATGTTTAGCTATGTGCTGAAAAAAGCTCATTGAAATAAGTAGATAGATACGCTTTTATGTATTTCGCTGTTTGCTCTTGTATGATTAATTTACTTAGTTAAAGCTTTATAAACGTTGAATATATTTTTAATTAAGAACCAGAAGTTTTATCTAATAGCAAACTGGATAAGTGTAATTTGCACATACATTGACGCTTTAATTCGACTGTTTTCAATTGATTTCATAAAATGCTTTATTAGACGTCTTAAAAATGTTTTCTAGCTCCATTATTAGATTTCAATGCATTGCTTTACAATATTGCTGTATAAAGGTGAATACAGTCAGCAAAATAGCGCTTATTCCAGTATGCGTCCATGTTTTAATTGCATGCTTTGTAAATGCTTTATAAGTGACGTATTAGATTCATTATTCCACAACACTTGTTCAGTCCAAAGAGGAAGAGGAGACAATAGGGGGACATTTATGAACCAATTTTCTGTCAACCGCGAACCAGCAGCAGCAGTAGGAAGGCGGTTCCTGTCAAGCGCGCAGCGTTCGAGTTTTGCACCTCGAACTTTGCGCGTCGTTCCCGTCGAGATCACTGGCTGCTGGTAGCAGCGTCGCCTCGATGGCGCAAGCGCTCCTTGGCTGAATGATAACTACAAATCTCGATTACTTTTCGAAAGAACAACAACGTAAACAACGCATTTTATCGTCGGTTTGGCATAACTAATACCACTATATCAGGTAGGGGAAAATTTCCTCTATCTGATGGTAGTGTTCGCATGCGTGAGTGAGCTATCAGTTACGCCAAATCAACGATCAAATTCATTGCTTACAAAAGCTGATACGTCCCTTCAAAAAAGTAATCGAGAAATACTTCTTGGTGTGTACCAATTGCCAAGTTAAATTTAACTCGTGGTTAAACGTGACATTTCGAAAGTTATTTTCCATGTTCGAAAATACCGGAAATTGATCAGTTTTCAAACAGAGCTCAGCCAAGGTTACCAAAATTTAATTTCTAGTCGGTCCGAAATAGCCACGCTCGTATAGCAGAGTTATTGGATAACTCATCTGTCACTTTTAACCATGAGATAAATTGAACTCGCACATTGCGACCCAGTCTTGGAAGTAAAATTTGGGCCATCCATAAATTCCCCCTCGGAGCGTGTTTTGCAATACATATAATACATGGCCGGTCCCAACTTCTGAAACCCCTTGCCTCCCTCAACTACTACGCTATTTATGAAAGTTCCCACTGAGCAACACTGAAAATCAGCAGCACACCACACAAAACGGGTTGGACAATTTCGGTTTTGATCATCAATATTTCGCGATCAGAACATTTTAGCCTGAAATCCCTCCATTTAATTATCAGTACATATTTAATCTATTGATTGAATAAAAAAAAATCTTAAAATGGTTTTCTAAGATTTCGTGCGTTTTGTGAACGCACATTCATTATTTTGCATAAGAAAACGGGAACGGGGTGTTTCTGTGGTGATAAGAATGATTTTCCTACACAGATTACAGTTTTCTGTTCCAAGCACTGAAATTATCAGACGGTACCTCTATGTATGCTTTTAGATTAGCTATGAAAGTCCCTCCTACTTGGAAAATTATGCTATAGAACGGTTTATACAACCCCAGTTCTTAAGCCAGCCGTTCGATTGCATAATTCTTCAAGAAGGAGGGACTTGCAATGCTTATCTCTTAGCATAAATAGAGGTACCGTCGAGTTTTTTCAGTGCATTATCACCATTCTCTGCTTGATCGTCAAGCAGTATAGTTCGGTTTTTGCTCGCTCTGGCGAGTTGTTCGAAAAGTTCGTAGTGATAGTGTTCGCGCTCTCTCTCTCTTTCGCGGTTTTTTGTGTGTGCGTGCCCCGATATGGGGAAGCATCGCTCGCGAACCCCGGTGAAGGAAGTTCGGGTGTACCTACATCCAACAGGTTTGCTGTTCTCCCCATGGATATTCCCAACCAACTGTGACGGAAAAACGCAGCAAGAAGAGGATGAAGAATCAGGGCCAGTCCGATGGCACAATTGGTCGCGAGGATGCCTCTGCGGCAAACGAGGATTTCGGCGACGCTGCCGAAATAGAAAATGCTGCTGAAAGGAGCGCGGCAAGAGTGAAGCTACCTCCGCTGGTAGTGAAAAATGCCCATCTTAATGAGCTCATCGCGGATCTGGCGTCGCTGGGCATCAAAGCCGAATTCAAGTTGGGCAGAGTCGGCACCAAGGTGGTGCTCCGTACGAAAGCGGAGTATGACTTGGTCGTTGCCCACCTGAGAACTTGCAAGGTGGAATTCTTCACCCATGACATTCCCGGTGAGAAACCATTCAAGATCGTCATCAGGGGTCTACCGAACTTTGACCCGAAGTTGATCGAAGCGGAAATCAAGAACCGCTACAAGCTGGCCGTCTTTCGGATGACAAGGAGGGACGAGAACGTCAAGAAATATCCGGATTGCCTTTTCATGGTGCATTTCCAGAAGAGAACGGTGACGCTCAATGCGTTGAAAGGCCATCCGCTCCATCAACTCCATCATTGTTCAATGGGAGCCATACCGTGGCGGCCGTCACGACATGATCCAGTGTCAGCGTTGCCTGAATTTCGAGCACGGCACCCGAAACTGCTACATCAAGCCGCGCTGTGGCAAATGCGCCCAAAATCATGTCTCCTCCGAATGCGTTGCCGACAAACAGTGTCTCAAACGCGAGGATTTCAAGCGGATCCGAAAGCAGGCGTCCACAAGAAGTCAACCAGGACGGAAGAAGGAAAATATTCCGACATTCAGGGTGGAGGACTTCCCGCCTCTTCGTGCTACGCAACACGGTCAAGCAAATCCACGGGTGCAATCCGGCCCCCGTCAAGAAACGTCTGGTGCCTCAGCTGGACAAAGCTCCCATTCCCCCCCCCCTGGATTCTGGAAACAACCATCAGCACAAAACGCCAATCCCGACGTCTTCTCTGCGGATGAGCTGATGAAGATTTTCGTCGACATGACCAGCACTCTTCGTCAGTGCCGCAGCAAGCCCGAACAGATCCAAGTGCTCGGTAAGTTTATTATTCAGTATGGTGTCAAACCGATAACTGTCGTCACATGGAACGCATGCTCGAGTAAAAAGACTCGAGCTTGCTGACTTCCTCCGCAAGCAAAGTATCGACGTGGGCCTCCTAACAGAGACCCATCTTAAATCCGTTGACAGTTTTTGACTGCCTGATCACCACATTATCCGGCTTGTTCGTATTGACTCCAGGAGGGGGGGGGATGGTGTTGTGATCATCATCAAGAAAGGAATCAAGTTCTGCACGCTGCCGCACATCCGCACTTCTATCATCGAGGCCCTTAGTGTGGAGGTGGAATCACCAACCGGAAACGTCGCCGTATACTGCGCTCGTCAGTGTGTTGCCAGCAATGGACTAAGGATAAAATTCAAGAACGACCTCACCGCTATCACTCGCACGAGCTCCCGATTCATTGTTGGGGGCGATCTGAATGCTCGTCACGAAGCATAGTGCAACTACCAACGGAACCAGAACGGTAGACTACTATTCGACCACTCGCAGCATGGGCTGTATACGGTGCAATTGCCGGATGAACCGACATTCATCTCTCCGGCGGGAAACCCTTCCACGCTAGACTTCTTCCTGACGAACTTCGGGCTATCGGTGGCAATCGACGACTTAAGCTCCGATCACCAACCGGTGGTGGCTGAGGTCGGCATCAACATAGCTCCTGCTCCAATCCTACGAAAAGACTACCACCACGTAAACTGGGTCCAGTTGACCGGAACATCAACGAAA